CTGCAGCATCCCCAGCCAGCCCCAGCCACTCTCAAGCTCTACCCCATCTCGTCCCTCAGCCCCAGGACCAGGCTCTGCTGCCCGTGGAGGCACAGACAGGCTGGAGACTGGATTTTCCAGTCCCTGATGTCACCAGCAGATCCCCACTCGTGTCAGGAGGAGGGAGCCTAAAAGGCTCAGGGGTTCTGGCCACAAATACCCCTGCTGAGACACGCTCTGATTAATCACCAGCCTTCCCCAGCAGCCCCGAGCCCGGCACAGTGACTGTGTCTGCAGGGGCGTGGAGCTTCCCAGGATCTGTCAGCTCCAGACCAGTGCTGGGGAGATGCAGAGAGCTCAAATAACAGTGGGAAACCTGGAAAATCTCCCTGCCCTCGATGGTGTCTGCAGGGTGAGCTCTTGGCCCTTGCTCTGCTCCCTCTCCAGCACCTGACCGGCAGCGGGTGGGTGTGGGGAGGTCTCAGCCTCCACAGCTTCAATTACAAAACCCAGAGCTGGCCAGATGTTGCAGCCCAAAACAGGGAGCATGTGTGAGTGTGTGTCAACAAGTGCTCGTGATGCCTGCAGCTGGCAGGAGGAGGCAGCTGGGGCGGTCTGCAAGCCTGCAGATTTACTGCAAGTGCAACAGAGAGAGGCAGGATGGCTCCCAGGGGTGCTGGGGGAGGCCCCATCCCTCTTTGCCTGCTCACCAACCCCAGGCCCAGCTCCACGCAGAGATCCTGAGTGCAGAACCTGCCTCCTGAATTTGTCTGGTGGGGTGTGACTATAGAGCTGGCACAGCCCTGGCTGCCAAGACTTACTGGTGAGGAACCCCCCCCTCTGCCCCAGCCCTGCCCAAGGGATGACATCTTTCCAACAGGCTCTTCAAAATTGTTACTAGCTGGTGGAGTTTGGGCGTTTTTGGACAGATCACATGAAAGAGCCAGAAACTCTCACCCCCCGGGGATGTTTCCTGCCTCCCTTTCACTCCCCCAGAAATCTGCAGGAGCTCCAAGCAGCTGGTGTGACCACGAACAAGAGCCTCTATCCAGCCCAAATCCACCCTCTGCACTCCCTTCCACCCCCAAATCCAGCCAAAAGCTCCAGCCCTGGAGCAGGAGCAGAGGATTTCAGCAAGTCAGGGACATCCCCTGCCCCACCAGCAAGGTCTCCTGTCCCCCTTGGAAATCACACGGCCCAAGGACACTTTTTGGAGGCAGGAGGAGAGCTCAGCAGAGGTGTTATGAAGAATCATTTGCATGCTCTGAATTCACACCCTGGTTTCCCTTTCTGGTGCAGAGCAGAGCTGAGGCCACCCCTGTGTTTCCAGCAGGTTCATCCACCAAAGCAGCCTGAGGCAGCGAGAGCTCATGGCTGCAGAGCCAGGACGTGGAGCCCTGGTGGAGGCTGTCAGATCTGAATGGTGTTTAGATCCCTAGAAGACATAGGGAAGCACTCAGGGGGATGTTCAAAAATCTGGCAGAAGTCAGAGGTCTAGCACAAGTGATTTCAAGAGGAAGAGGGAAACCACATCAAAGGATCTTCTTCATAACTAAACGGTTCAAGAGGGAAGCACAGGGCGGACGACGTGTTAGGTGAAAATTGGAACTGAAAAAAAATAGAGCTGGACTGCAAAGTTCCAGAAAAATGTGGAGCCAGAGGCTGCCTGAAGGAACAGGGAAGTGGGATGCACTGTGGTTCCTCCAAAGCAAGGAAACGTGGCTCCACTGCTGCCAGCCTGAGCTGCTGGAGTCGCTTGAGAAGTCCTACAGCTCTAAAAATCCATTCCTGAAGGGCTGCTGAAGGTTTCAGAGGATTTTGGTGGAAACACCAGACACTGGGGCTCAGATGTCTGTTGCCCCAGGCTCCTTTCAGGCTAAGCAAACTGGGAGCAGACTGGAGCGTGGCTGCGGGTACTGGTGACACCTCCTCAAGGCTTGGTGATGCTCAGAGCCCCTGGTTCAACCCCTGCTCCAGCCTGGGACCCCCTGCATCTGGTGCCACTCTGGCTGGGGTGTGAGCCCCATGGGGAGCTGGCACCATGGGTCTGGGCTGCACCAGCCTCCTGTGGCTCTGCACGGCTGCTCTGGGCCAGTGTCCTTCTCCCAGGCACTGGGACACAACCACCTGCCCTCTGGGACCTGCCCTCACCCCACTGCTCCCCATGGGACACTGGGGGCTGTGTCACCTGCAGGGATTGTCCCTGGGCAGTCTGTGCTCTGGGGAACTTGGAGAAAACCACAGAGACAATGAATTATTTGCCCAAGATGATGCAAGTGCTCAGGAGAAGAGACCTCAGCTCTAGGAAACGGCCTCAAGTTGCCCCAGAGGAGGTTGAGGTTGGAGCTGGGGAACAATTCTCCTTGAGGGTTGTCCAGGCTGTCCAGGGCAGTGGTGGAGTCCCCATGCCTGGAGGGGTTTCCAAGCCATGGAGATGTGGTGCTGAGGGATGGGTCAGTGGGGACCTGGCTGTGCTGGGATCAGGGTTGGATGTGATGCTCTCAAAGGTCTCTTCCAACCAAAATGATTCTATGGCTCCGTGACTCTCCCGACTCCAACCAGGACACATCCTAGCAAAGCTCTTCTGCACAGTCCCACCACTGCTGCATCCACCCTGCCCACCCCCCAGTACACTGCTGGGATGAGCTGAACCAAACCAAGACCCAGAAACGACAGAGAGGGTTTGGGCTGCCAAGAGGAAAGCTGCCTGCCCATGCCACCTTCATGTGCCCCAGGGATTTACACCCAACCTGTGCAGAGTTACCCTGCAACGCCCCAGAAAGCCACAGACAACCCCCCCGAGGGGTTTGTGCAGGGCTGCAGGGGGCTGTGAGCAGCTCTCACAGTTGATCTGGAGGGAGTATCTTTGGTAACAGAGTTTGAACAATACTTTGGGATCTGTGCACAAGAAAAAAAGCACGGGAAAGACACCCTCTGTTAGGGGGATTAGGAACAAGGGAAACACTGAAACCCTGTCACTCAAATACAGCTACAGTAATTAGGATCTCCTGAATTTTACCTTACAAAGAGTTGAAAGCTGCCTGTAAAACTGAATTGCACCCTTCCCTCCTTGTTTATAAAGGTCTGGCAGGGCTCTGGAGGAGACAGTGGGTAATTGTCTAACAGCCGCTGGAGCTGGCCAAGAGTCAGGTTTTGGGTTTCAGTTCAGCTTGAAAATAATCTTCTTAGGCCATCAGTTCCTGACAGCTCTGTTAACTGGGTGAATCTGCTGCTCCCAAAAGCCAGAGCTGCCCTCACATGAGCACAGGTAGCTCCGAGGCTGCTCCTCCACTCCCTCCTGCTGTAACTTTCTGCTTCTCCAAGCCCGTGATCCATGAGAGCAGCTCTGACCTACATCCACGCCCTGCTCCCAGGCTTGGCCTCACACAGAACACAGAAAATCCTCTTCAGTCCTTACCCAAAGCAGCCCTGTGCTGACTGGCAGGAGCTCTCCCTCCTCCAGGCTGCCCTTGCAGTGCTCCTCACACAGCCAGACGCTGCT